CAGACTCTCCCAGAGAGCATGGAAGAAATGCACCAAGGGCGTTAGCCCTCCTGGGAGGGGCAGGACAAAGATCTGAGCACCTCTCTAATATCTCCTGTCTTAGAGGTAAAGGATGCTAAAACCCACCCATCGTGTCAGTTCTGACTCTTAGAGACCCGGCAGGACAGAGGAAACCAGCTTGAGGTTTCCAAGGCAACACATCTTTACCAGATCAGACTGTTACATTTCCTGCAGAGACCCTGGTGTGCTTGAACCACTGACCTTTCAGATAGCAGCAGTTCAACACTCAACCCCTGTGCCACTAAGGCTCCTTCCAAAAGTGCTGTGTCCTTGTGACGAGTGGGGCAGCAATGGCGATCTTGGACTTGAAACTAGGAGTTCTAGGTACCTACACCGATGCTGCCACTAACTTGCCTATGACCTTGGGCAAGTTCCTTTTCCTTGATTCAATTTTTCCAGGGCCTCAGTTTCTCATAACTGTAAAATGGGACAATTTGACTGGTCTGGTTGTTTTCTTTATCTTTTTTTTTTTTTTTTAAATTTCAGTGTCTGTACCCTCTTTTCTTTTAGGTAAAATATTTTCTACCAAGGATCAGTTCCTCAGAGAATATAATGAACACTATCGATGATTTTCCCTGAAACACACATACATACCACATAGTAATGTATAGAACCCAATAGGAGCCCAGAGCCCGTTCTTGGGCTCCTAAGGGGACATTCAGTTAAGAACTAGAGAGAGGGACACACAATTGTATAGCAAAAACCACGAGTTCTGGACCTTGTGCCCAAGTTTGAATTCTGGTTTCTCTGCTCTGTAGCCGAGTTATTTCCATCTCCAAGCCTTAGTTTCCTTATTTGCAAAACACAGAGCATGAAAGTTCCCTAGGGCTGTTAGGAGGATTTAGTGGATCAGTAAAATATCAGTGTTTGTAAATGAACGTTCCTGCAAATGAAAGCTCTGAAAGATATGCTTTCCAGGTGCCTTGTACACACTACCACCAAGTCTTGTTTCGGCTAGCACCTGGCTGAATGTCTCTCCACACTCCTAGTGTGCCCAGCAGTGAGGCCCCCTCCACTTGGTGAATTATTCCCCAAGATGGGGGTAATTGTTAAGCCACTCTGGTGCCCTTTCTCCTTCAGCCTCACTTCCCCCGGCCCCCAGGGAGAGCTGACCCCACAAGACCTACACCAACCTCCAGGGCCACGGCCGGATTACACCACAAGCAGGGGACTACTTGTGCTTACTCTTTTCCAATAAGCAAGGGAAGCCTGTGTCCCTGGCAG